ATCTTTTCTCTCCATCAACTTTCACTCTCACATTTTGACCAGCGTGAAATTCAGGGAGTGGGTGAGCTGAATATCTGCAGTTGTAGAAAAATCTGTGAGAATATTTTGCTTTTGCGTCCTTTAAGTAGACTGGATTTGGCATCAATGTCTTTTGTAGGACAGGAAAAGTCGTGTGGAACTGCTGACCAGTCATAAGTTGTGCTGATGGACAGAGCTCCTACTGTTCCTGGCTTTTGTCAATTTTTTTGTTTATTTATGCTTTACTCTTTATGCTTTATGCTTTTATTGTCCAGTGCTTTGTGATTTTATGTATGTGAAAAGCAGACATAGTAAAGTTTATATAAATGAACTGTACTTACCATGTTGTGGAGAACCAGCTGCAGCTGTAATGGTGAGTGGATCTCATGCAAGCAGTGAACGTGAGGGTGATTAACAGCAGTAAGACTCTCCTCCTGCCTCTAATTGGTTGTTTCTGTCTGAGCAATGTGTCATGGTTTGAATAATTTTTTAATCCACATGCAGATCATTCTCAGGACTCAGATAAAAATATTAAAAAGTTCTTTGTACAAACAATGCATTGAGTATGTGTCTCTGTCCAGGGAATCTGGAGAGGGAGAAGGGAAAGGGATCTCTGGAACAGAATGAAAGACAATGAGTGCTGAAAAACAGGCTGGAAAGTACAAGAGGAATGAGGTTTCTTACTGATTATGGTGGAGGAAAGTCTGTGAGGGAGGGAGGGAAGGAAGGTGGAGAGAGGTTGGAGCTGGGTCTGTATGAAAATGGTGCCAGAACCAGGAAGATCTGATGGATACCAGAGTGAAGCCACTCTGGTATCCAGTTGGAGGGTGGACAGGTTTCGCAAGCTTGAGGAAGAGGAGCGGCGTGTTTCCAGTCGTGCAACAGAAATCAGAGGTATGTATCTTGAGGAAGTCAACAATCGGACAATCAGGAGATCGAGGAGCAGAATCCAGGAGGTTCCATGGAACCTTGGAAGGAGGACACAAGAAGGTAAGTCTAGGAAATATTCAACACCAGCACAATCCGAAGGAAGATTAGACATTGGTCTGTGATTTATTACTAAAGACGATTTGTTAAGTGAAAGTTTAATTACAACTTAAAAGCCAATTACAGATGCAGCATCTGACTCCACTTGTAAGTTAAATGTGTTAAGTTTTTCTCACCTTCAGCCCTTCTTGAGCCTCATCATGAACTGGTAAAGTTAGTTATTTCAACTAACTGCTTGTGATTGCTTTTTCATGTTTTATATTTCTATGGATCTTTACTGGAAGCTGAATCTTCCATCACCTAGTTCTCTATTTGAAGATGAATGTGTTGACAGCTTTGTTGGTTTTATTTGTTAATTCATGTGTCCTGTATGCTCCAGTAAATCTGTTTCTTAAGGGTGATACATCTAAATGGTTCCTTATGATAGATGAATCTCTTCATTCTCACTGTTTACTGAATTTGAATGATCACATTATTGCTTCAAAAATGTTCTTTTTAATGAGTGTATGTTCTCTAGTCTGGTATGTGACTCATAAGGCTGTAGGCAGCAATATTAGGTTGTAATAATATTTACTTGGATAACTACAATTATTACTGTTGAATATGTTTAGATAGCTGTACAATGTCAAATATTGAAAGATGTTGAATCTCAATCTGGTCGTAGGATGATATCAGTGTCAGAAGTTAATTTTCTGAAATATATTTTTTTTAAATATTTGGTTAAATTAAACATGGCTTGTGTCATGTACTGTGAGTGTAAATTATATATATAATTTACACTATATATAATATATAATTTATATATATATATAATTTACACTATATATAATATATAATTTATATATATATATATATATATATATATATATATATATATATATATATATATATATATATATATATATATATATATATATATATATATATATTTTTTTTTTTTTCCAGGGCCTGGAAGGTGAAGACCACAGTGGTGCCTGTGGTCATCGGGGCCCTCGGGGCAGTAACCCCCAAACTGGAGCAGTGGCTACAACAGATCCCAGGAACAACATCAGACATCTCAGTCCAGAAATGTGCAGCAGTCCTTGGCACAGCCAAGATACTGCAGGACCCTCAAGCTCCCAGGCCTCTGGTAGAGGACCCGAGCTCAGAGGATAAGAACCACCCACGGTGGGTGAGAAGGGAATATATATATATATATATATATATATATATATATATATATATATATATATATATATATATAATATATATATATATATATATATATATATATATATTCATCCAATCACTTCAATGATTGGATGAATTTACACTCACAGTACATGACACCCTCCCCCCCCACTGCCCCCCACACACACATATATATATATATATATATATATATATATATATGTGTGTATATATATAATAGTTGTAGTTGTAAATGTGAGCAGCCCCTCCCTCCGCTGTCTGCGGCGCTGCGCTCATAAACCCAACAGGACGCAGAGAAGTTGGACGCGGGCAGGCAGTGCGCAGCCGCAGGTCCTTCAGGTCGGAGCTGATTCTGGGTTTGCGCTGCTTCTTTCTTCGCTGCCACCACCATGGAGCCTCCGGACTTTGAAGCCATGAACCTGACAGTGAAGCCGGCGCCGCCAGCGTTCCCGCTCTGTGGCGCATGGAAGGAGGCTGCGGAGGGATCTGTGTTCCACCTCGCCAACATCCTGCTCTTCCTCGGCTTCATGGGAGGAAGCGGTTTCTACGGACACCTTTACCTGTTCACCTTTTTGACCGTGGGCTTCTTCTGCAGCACCGTGTGGGCCTGGTCGGACCCCTGCACCACCGACACCTTCCTCTGGAACTGCGCCCTGTTCGGGGCGTGTTTGACTCAGGCTCTCTATATAGTCTACAAGCTGAGGAGCCTCACATTCGACAAGGACTTTGAGGAACTGTATAACTGCATGTTTAAAAGACTCGGAGTATCCATTGCACATTTTGGGAAGATAGTGACTTCCAGTGACGGAGTTGTCCACACCTTGGAGAAGGGCCAGTTCTTTGCTGTAGAAGGAAAAACAGCTATTGACAAGTTGTCTGTTCTTCTGTCTGGCAGGTGACTGACTGCACGGTTGCTTCACTTTTGTTTCACTTTTGCTGAACTGAAACTTGCAAGGAATATTTTTTACTAGTAGTTAAACATTTAAGTTGTTTCTGTTTCATAAAGAAGTTATGTCCAATTCTGGCCCACTATTGCAGCCTCATATTTCAGCTATGCTTAAAAAAAAAACTTAAAAATAAAAACAAATTATAAACTTCTCCAGCTTTTCTGCAGCCAATCTGGGTTCTATGACTGCCTCAATAGCTGCAGGTGTGGAGTAAATCAGCCAGTTTCCAGCCCTTTATACTGCAACTGGCAGAGGATAACAGCCCATAATGATTATAAAGCAAACCACATGATTCATATAATGTATTTCTAAAGAAAGCTCAAAGCAGTCTTTACTTTGTGGCAGACTGCTTTTCCTTTGCATTGGAACATTTGAACATGACTGGTCCTTCAAACGCATTGAGAGGAAAACAAGTGTGCAGTCAGAGATGGAGCACCAGGAAGGCTTTTCTTCTGTACTGCATAACAGCGTTAGTGAACTTGTTAAAAAGATTCTTGTTAATAAATCAGAATACAGAAGAATGCTCAATTGCAAAAGTGACAAAATATTTACATGCGACAATATAGCAAAAATATCATAAATATAATGACATTTAATTTCAATGTCTCATTGAGGTGAAGGCCAGGGAGGATGGAACTGGCTCTGTCCAGCAGTCTGAGGACTTCAACTGACTGACTGTGTGTTATAGTGACCCAGATGAGGCTCCTAAAGGTTTAATGACAGAAGTTTTCAATTGTGTTCTTTGAAAAAAGGACAGTTAGCCTCATTGACACCTCAGCTGCTGTCCCAGTGCCTTTTGGCTGATTTAGTCCTTTTGCATGTCCTGCAGCTACTGCAGACAGGAACCTCAGATGAGCCAATGCTGGTTATAATACAGTTTATGGATTTTAATTCTCTGTTCTCTTCCAGAATCCATGTGACAGTGAATGGAGAGTTCCTGCATTACATCTACCCTTTCCAGTTCCTGGATTCTCCTGAATGGGATTCTCTCAGGCCCTCAGAGGAGGGAATATTCCAGGTGTTTATACTTCTTGCATGTTATGAATAAAATGACATTTCTTTCAATGTCTAATTGAGATGAAGGTCAGGGAGGATGGAACTGGCCTTGACTTCAAGGTCTTTTGTGTAACTATAGCTTTATTAAACCCTTTCAGCAGAGAAGTTCCACACATTTCTATTGTTCTTTATAGCTACACTTTTTCATGTGTGATGTAGTTCCTCTCCCTATTTCTTCAGAATTCTTTGCTTGATGGTCCAGTGGTAGAGCATAGGAATTAGCATCTGAACTCAGATTACTCTATTGACAGTTTTTATTCAAATCCTGGCTGAAATAGCCCTTTAAAAACATAAAAAAATGTGCAGATCTTCTGGCTGAAAAATACACTGGCAATGTGATCACTGAGTCTAAGCTGTTTTTACGTTTGTGTAGCTGTATGTTTACCTCATATGTCTCTTGGGCTGATATAGAATGGCAAACCTTTAACTTTTTGGGACTATTGGAAGCCACATTCTGTCATTTTGAGCATGGTGAATTTCTCACAAGTGATATTTAAATTACAAATATCAATTACTTTTATTACAAATAGCTCCTTCAACACCTTGACTGTGTTTTACTGAAAGCTCACAGAAAAACATGACGTTCTCTGTTTCTTTTCTCTTCAGGTGACTCTGCATGCTGACGATCAGTGCAGATACATAGCCTGGAGGAGGAAGAAGCTGTACCTGCTTTTTGCTAAGCATCGCTACATAGCCCGGATCTTTGCCCTGATTGTGCGCAGTGACATCGCTGAGAAGGTGTACTCACTTAGTGACAAGGCTTTTGACAGGGCAGGACACCGTTATGATCTTCGTTTACCAAGTTACTGCCACATGCCAGGGCCAGAATTAGAAAGAGCACATGACCTCCTGGAAGTTCCTGTGCCAGGGGAAAGGGCCGGATAGTCACACACACACACGCCCACGCACACGCACGCACACACACGCACGCACGCACACACACACGCACACACACACACACACGCACACGCACACGCACGCACGCACGCACGCACGCACACACACACACGCACACACACGCACGCACGCGCACACACACACACACGCACGCACACACACGCACGCACACGCACACACACACACACACACGCACGCACACGCACACACACGTACACAGACACTGTGTCGGGTCTTTACATTTAGAACTTTCCTTTTGCATTACAAAATGTCATTGGGTTAAAATCTGTCCATACTTGGGACAATGTTGAAGTGAATTAACCACACTGTGCTCTCCTGTACTGCTCACCTGTGAGATGGAAACCCCAAAGAAAACAAGTCAAACCATAGGTCAAACTGAAGTCTGGCTGCCTCACTGATCCATGACCACAGACATGCCAGGCACAAATCACAGGCTATCCTGGAGTTTTTGTTACAGAAGCCATGAAACTGTGCCAGGAATATACTGAACTGAAGACTCAATATCAGCAGGCATCACTTCAGTCAATCACAAATACTGCCAGATGTTGGTGGTTATAGCTGCACGCCATAACAATCAGATCTGGCTCCACAGAGGCAAATAAAGACACATATTCAATAAAAAGTTGAATGTTTTTCTCCAACGGTGCACTCAAAGTCTAGTTGTTATTGATTCAGAATTTGTAAAAAAAAAAAAAAACAGAATTTTGTTTCGCTCTGTGTTTAACAGCAGCTAAAAGGGCAACTGTTAAACCCTTTGATTGTACATTACTGCAGATGGAATATAAACAGCTTCTCATTTAGGTGTTTTCAATCTTTTACCTTCTGCTCAAGTTTTCATTATCCTGTCAATGATTGAGTCACGTAATAAGAGGATTTTAACTGAACAACTCATGTTCCTTGTCGATGTCTACATCTTTACTGTTTACACAGACAAGGTTGAGAAACAAGATATTTGCTACATGTTGCTTGTTGTTATCTTGTCTCTCCAGGTCCGTGGATGTAGATGTAGACATGAACACAGTGAGCCATAAGTTTTCATATATAGAAAAAATACACATTTTTTATTGGACAACCATGTTTATTCTGTAATCACTGCATGTCTTGGACTACTTTGTGGTTGATCTGCAACATTTTCAGTTTTCTGAAACTTGTAAATAAGTTTTGCCACAGTGTTGCGTGTGATGCTCGTTGTGATGCTCTTTCCATATTTTCTGTTAAAGTTTTGTGCAACCGTGCGACTGCTTCCCAATCCAGCTATTAGTATAATTGAAATTCTTTTCTCTTGTCAAATGCACCTTCTTGGATATCTGAAACATAAAATAACTATATATTTTACAATCTCCTATGTATGGAAACGTATATATAAAAAATATCTTGATGTCTCACAGTCTGCTGACTAATAAAATGAGTTGAGGATCAAGTTGCACCAGGAAGGATTTGTCAGATGTGGATGTAATATTTAAATAAGATATGGTTGATTAAATTATTCAGTTAATAAGTATTGTTTAAATTTCCATGTGTAAAAGAAAGTCAGATTTAACAGCCACATGCTGTTAAATCTGGCAGTGTAAACAGTGGCAGTTTTTCATATGGGTGACATGGGCAAATATTTTGGCTCATTGAAGTGAACGATGAGAGCCGGCTCCTCACTCAGAGCTGTTCTCAGGGCCGCCCCAGGGAGGCACTAGCCTATTTGTTTCATTCTCAGTCATCTTTACTATTTACATAGACAGTGTTGTGAAACGAGATATTTTCTACCTGTTGCTCATTGTTATCTTGTCTCCCCAGGTTTGTTAATGTTGCGTAAAAAAAGTGAAACCACAAAGACAACGGTCACTGTTCAACTTCACAATCAACCAGAATTTATTCAAACAATCAAGTCCATAAAATCACACCAACAGCTCAATATAATCATCAGAAACCAAAGCCACAAAGAAGAAATGAGCGGCCTTAGAAAAATACAAAAATATGAAAAGGCACCTTTGGAGACCAGTGTGTGGCAGTTAAGACAGGTCCAGCCCAGTGATCTGACCTGCTGTTTCATCTCCATTACTTTTATATCAAGCCGTGTTTCTATTGTCTAATGTGTCTAACGTACAGTTTAGAGGTGGACTCAAAGAGCCCGTGATGACATGTTGCTGTTAGCAGCCAGAGACCAGGCAACTGTTACCAAGGCCAAGGGATGAATTCATTGCTGTCTAAGCTGTCCTCCTTGCACACAGGGCACCAACAATAGATGTGTTCATTTTATACAGAAACATTTTACTCAAGAACAGGGCCAAAGTTTATTAGCTATCCGTGTTTTTCATCCTTAACTGCCTCAAATTGGTTCCTGAACCACGCAGAGCTCTCCTGACCTCTGACCCAGTGCATCAAACAGCAGATTTGATGATAAAAATTGGCACACGTTTCATATAATATCTTCAAACTCTCATAAAACAGACATGAACAGTTTCAGGTCTAAAACATCTATCACACTTAATATTTTCTGATTTAGTTTTCTACTTCTTTGGCTTCAATGAACTAAAATATTTTTCGGATGAATATGTGACATTTACTTCTTAAGACTATGATCTAATATAAAAAACTACTACTAATTTGAATCAAATAGTGCTCATTATATCTAAGAAAATTGTTCAGCTGATAAAGTTATATATTGATTAAACCCTTAGTCTAAATCTAACCTAAATTGAGGGCTGCTCAAAAACAATCAATCAAAACAAGCATAATTAAACTAATATTTCCAACAATAGATGACCAGTAAATAATTCATACATAAATAATTGCATTAATGCATTACATATAGAATTGTAGGTTCTATCTCCAAACAGAACTCTCTGAAACAGAGTTCTGTTTTGAAAAACAGAACTTGTTATCTAAATAGTTTCCCTACAATCTTCAAACTTTGATGCCAGAAATGGAAAATATTTGAAACTTTGCAACATTAGGGGCAGCAGAAGGAATGCCATCTACTTGTTGAAATGCTTATTTTTGGTATATTTTACAAATCCAAAATATTGAGTTGTGGAAACAAGTAGACAGTATCATATCTGTGATTTTACTGCTGCAAAATAAAACGGGTTTTCTAAAGTTTGTTGATTGATGAAAAATCAACACTGTTCAGGTCCCAACGTGACATGTCGCCCCCTATCGGGATCTTTTCGGTACTACTCTCATTCGCTTGCCCAATTTAGTCTCCTCCTGTCAGCTGTGTGGAATGTGCGATGCACATTATGCAGACTCCGAGAGAAGGTCACTAGAAGCGCCTTGGTCCGCTTGCAGAAAGCGCTCTGCTGTCTTCGCCCTGAACATACTCGGTAAGAAGCCTCCTGTTTCCTTCATCGTCATTAGGAAAGCGTTTTGGAAAGTTACAGTTGGGGGGAATTGTTGTGTGAGTGCGGAACTATTTCCGATTCTATTTTTACATGGGAGCCTTGGCAGCGCTGGGAGCAGAGCAGAGCAGAGCAGAGCAGAGCAGAGCAGCCTGCAGCTGTTCCAGCACAGCTAAATCAGCTCCTTGACACTTCACTGTGTGTGAGATCGGATGGTTCAGCTCAGCAGCGAGATTCATCCAAAAATAATTATGTTCATGAAGATTTTATCAGTAAAATATCCCAGAGTAAAGTACATGAACAGGAAACAGTTGTATTTTCCTTCAGTCTCTACCCTGTACCTGCTACAGGGGAAACATAACTCACCTGTTCTGTTTTTTTGTTCGGATTAGGAATTTTCCTGAAGTAAAAAATTCACACTTTTGTAAGTTAATTTTGGGGATTTAGGCAGGTTTGAACAGAAACTTGCCTAAATCCCCACATCTGCTTCAGAAGTGTCCGGAGGCATAGCTTTCTCATGCTTTGCTACATGGTGGCTTTGCTGCTGACCAGAAGATGAAGTTCAGCATCAGCACCAGTAAAGAAGTGGTCAGTTACTGTCAACCTTATACTCATGCAAATCTCTCACTTTTTTGCAGTCCTGTCCTGGTCCTCTGGCTGAAGCTCCATCAGAATGTCTACACCTGACTCAACCTCCTTCCTCACCATGCTGCCCACATTCACCTCATCCACTCCAGAGGTCCCAGCTGTGGAGGCCAACGCCACCTCCTGCCAGCATTGGGAGCAGGTCCATCACACGCTGTTCCATCTCGGGAACCTATCCCTGCTGCTGGGCCTGCTCATTCCCACCACCCTGGGGCTGCACATGATTCTGCTGCGCCTCTTCCTGATGACAGGTCAGACCTCCCCCCAAACCTCTTCTGAAGGCATTTCACTGATAATAATAATTCATCAGACACAGCAGGGAGTCACACCTATCATATTATTATACTTTATAATATTTAGACTTTAGTTCAAAGTGTACTGGGCAACATAACACTCAGATGATATCAGCAAAGTTGTGTTGAGGTTTTACATTTTTTCAATATGTTGTTTAAAATTTTTATTCGACTGTTGACGTCTCATCCTCAGACCTCAAGCCTTAAAAGAATATGGGGGGTGGCATGGAAAAACGCTCTCCACTTTGTTTATCTTTGCAACTGGAGACAGGAAACAGCAAGAATTATGGGAAATTGAGTTCTTTTTTATTAAGGACTAGTAGAGCTTTGGTGGATTCAAGATGAATAAAATGAAAATAATAAATATTGAAATGGTGATGTTGCCAATGTAACTTCAGTAAACTGGATCATCATGTCACAGTATTACTGGATCTTTTTTTTGTTTTTTTTTTTCTTTAGAAAAAAAATAGTCCAAACAGTGCTTGGGTATTAGTAGTGCTTGTTGATATGAGAGAGGAAAAAAGATGATGTTAAAATTACTACATTACTACTACTATAGAGAAAGAAAACATTAACTAATAATGATAAAGCAATAACAATATTAGTGATAATTAATTGAAGCTGCCTGCCCCTGAGCAGACCACCAGAGATTAGAGGGCACCGCTCAGTGAGCCCAGACCACAACTGAACCAAACCACCGGTCCAGAAGTCCCCATTGATGAGTCCACCTTGTGTGCTGCGCTTCAAAACCTTGGATACTTTATACATCCCTAACCTTGTAAAATGCAGTTGAAAGAAAGACATGGCAAAATGCGATGTGATCCCAGTTTAGACCATAATTTCCCTATTTTTTTTGTGTTTTTGCTTTTGTTTTCTTCTTTTTTTTTGTTTTTTTTGTTTAATGCATTAAAAAAAACATCTGATGGAGCTACAGGCAGGACTAGACTGTTTGCCTCAAAGTATGAAATGTCTGTACACTATGTTAGTATTTAGACATTCACATTCAAAGCTGCACCAAATCTGACTGAACTCAAGTCAAAGCTTTTAATCAATAACTTAACATTATAGCAAGAAAAATATAAAACAAAACCGTCTCGTTTGACTTGATTTGAACTGTTTACTTAGGATGATCTCCCCATTTCAGATTAAAATGACTAATTATGTATGATCTTGCCTTTATTTTCATAAGTCCATACACCTATCATTCTCCAGAAATATTACTCTGCTGTAATTCATTTAAAAAAAGAAGAGAGTTTGGCTAAGTTGTCCAGTTCCAACTGTATTTTCTCTATTTTTCTGATTGTTTTCAATCTGTTCAATAAGTAGAAGAAGAGCACCTTGGGGTGTGCTGTGGTGGCGCAGGGGGTCAGCACGCCCCACGTTTGGAGGCCTCAGTCCTCCACGCGGACGTCGCGGGTTCGACTCCTGGTCCCGGCGACCTTTGCCGCATGTCTTCCCCCCTCTCTTCGCCCTCCTTCCTGTATGCCTACTGTCAAAAATATGAGCCACTGGAACCGCATAAACTCTTTGGAGAAAAAAAAGAAAGAAGAGCACCTGCTGCCTCTTGTGTTTACGAGGCTCAGTACTGCCCCCTGTCAGAGAGGCATGGGTCTTTCTGCCTCACCTTACAAATTTTTATTGCACATTTAAGATGGATCAGAAAGACTAATTTGTCACTCACAGTCATTAGATATATTAGACAGACAGCAGAACCTCAGCATATATGAAACGAGTAAATAAACATGTTTTAGAAGTATATTGGCAATATATAAAGAACAGCAATAAGCATGCGGCAACAAACCGCTTCATTCGCTTTTTGTGACACAGCGCCACCAAGGGTGAAGCACAGTGCTGCACTCTCACCCTGGTTTTCTACCATGTAAATACAACAGGCGAACAAGATTTTAGCTCTAATAGTCTTTATAAAGCTGATGTTTGATCAGGTTGTTCAATTACTATTTGTATTTCACATACATTTTTTTACATTTTATCATGTAAAAATAAAAATCAATACATTCTGATGAAATTCTATACTATATATCAACAAAGGATATACAAGGGTATGATGTTAAGTAATAGAACATGCTGTGTGTGAATGAAAAATATCAGAAAGCTGTGGTGTGCAGGCGCTAATAAACTTTGATAACTCTCAATGAATTCCTGTGGATCCAATGTCAGCTTACAAGTACTATTGCCATCTGAAGAAATGCACTGCTCCAGGTCAGAAATAACCAATCAGAGCCAGGAGGAGGGTCTTAGTGCTATCAATCAACTTTGTGTAATCACTGCTAAATGTGCTCATGGGCGGAGAAACAACTCACCGTTCCAGGAAAACAATTTCTCTGCCATCATTGGTGGCGATGCTAACGAGCCTGGCATTCATGGCTGGTTATGTTGTGGTGAACCGGCTGTAGCTCAGCAGAGATCATGGTGGATGGTGTGAGTAGTGCATACACAAGGTTGAGACCCACTTTCTAGCTCTGATTGGTTGTTTCTGACCAGGAGTGGTGTATTTTTTCAGATGGCAGGGAGGAGGAAGAGGAGCTTGATTTTCTTTTTCTGTCTCATATTATCCTGTCAGGTTGCAGTGAAAATTTTAATAAATATATAAAAATATATAGCTTATAAAGCGACATATTAAAATAGAAGAGAGATTTAGCTCATTCCATGAACATTACTTACCATTCTAGTACACCTTTGATCAGTTCTTCTTAAATAAGCAGCGTACCAATGAAAGTTATTGGAATTGCCTCTTTCATCACTTCCATTGCATTGAATTGAGATGAGCTGCACAGAATAATTTTATTATAAGTTGCATGAAAATTAAAAATTTTAATCATGCAGAAGTTAATTGGCTGGACCTGTACTCCTTTACTAGCTTTGTTGTTTGCTTTATTTTGACAGGATGCAGTCTTTTCATTGCTTGGGCTACTTTCTATCGCTGCAACCTTGATGTGATGGTTTGGAACGTGGTGTTCTTGGTCGTCAACTTCATGCACTTATTCTTTCTCCTGTATAAGCGCAGGCCGGTGAGTTCTGCATTACCATGCTCTATGCTCTCTCTTTGTCATATTGTCACCATTATATTTTACAGTTGGGAAACAAAATATTAATGCTGAGCCACAGTCTTTAGTTTTTATATTATGACCTAAGCTAATGATCACCATGTCTTTTGACATTTGACCCATTTGTATGCTAAGAATCTTCAGGCCGCATTAAGATTCACTGTTCAAATAATGGATCTCCCTCAAGTCACTGGAATGAGACTTAGATTCATAATAAGATGCAAAGAACCCTTTCTTCACCCTCAGTTGTTTTATCTAGTCACTGTCTCTCAAATTGGTTTTTACATGCAATATACCTAAGAAAGCTATTTTTGTTTTCATGAATGATTATTTGAAGTGATTTTGATTATTAGAAAGACAAATTGGGGCTGTGACTGCTCTTTCAGATTAAGATTGACAGAGAGCTGCGGACTGTCTACAAGCAGATGTTTGAGCCTGTCCATGTGCAGGAGGCTTTGTTTCAGAGGCTCACAGGACAGTTTTGCACAATCCAGACTCTGAAGAAAGGCCAAGCATATGCTGCTGAGGACAAGACCTCTGTGGATGAGCGCCTCAGTATCCTGCTCAAAGGAAAGTAAGTTATGTTTGCAGCATGGTGAGCTTCTGTCTTTCACACTTCCTGACTTAAGCATAATCTGAATAATCATGGCTCATGGTAGAAAACTGTAGCATTCACACTTACCTTAACCACTTGAGTTTTTTTAGTTTCATTTATAAATATTTATGGCATCAGAAAAGTTAGCTCCCTTATGCATGTACTGGTCACTAGGGAGGCTAAGTCTTCAAGGTTATCAGTAGTTTATTAAATTGATAAGAATTGTGGATTGTATGTCTTTGGCACAGGATGAAGGTGTCATATCGAGGTCATTTCCTCCACAACATCTATACCAACTCATTCATCGATTCTCCAGAGTTCAGATCTACTGAGATGCACAGAGGGGAGAAGTTCCAGGTAAAAAGCAGAAAGTCAAAGTAAACATAAATATGGACATATACCAGCCTATGACATCATGATCCACTCAAATCCTAGACTGAGTAACTCTCTGTGATGTAGTCAGATAAGCTCTAACCTCCCAGTGCAGGGACTAGTTTTGGCCCTTACTGTGAGCAGTACGTCCATTAATTACTGGTAGAAGTAAAGTGGGGCCTTGCTCAGCAAAACCCGCAAAGAGTTGTCTGAATTTAGAAGCCAAAATTCAAGTTATAAGACTAAAATCAACTTTTCATCAAAGTTTGCTTGAGGGCATGGCAGTGGCATAGGATAAAGCACATCATCGAAGTACAAAGACCTTTGTCCTTTACTCGATCATCAGACTCCCGGCCAAGAGTCCCAGCCTCTTGACCAGGGGTGGGCACTCCTGGTCAAGAGGGCCGGTCTCCTGCAAATTTTAGATGGATCTCTACTTCAACACACCTGAGTCAAATAATGAAGTCATTAGCGGAACTCTGGAGAACTTGGCTGCATTTAGGAGGTGATTCAGCTGTTGGATTCAGGTGTGTTGGACCAGGGAGACATCCAAGAGTGTCAGGACACCGGCTCTTGAGGACCAGGAGTGCCCACTCCGTTCTTGACCATTACCTAATGTCTTCCCTCTCTCATAACCCACTTTACTGACGACTCAATATCAAATACAGGACAGTAGAGGCAAGAAAATCTTTAGAAAAAATAAAGTTAGCTTTTTCTTGCCTGACCCTCTCATTCCCCAACCAGCCCACTATTTGCCACTACACTGGTTCAGTTCTGATGTTCATGTGGGCACCGTCGATGCTTACAGTATCAACTTTGGAAATGAGTGAAAATTGTATTGATGTGTTCTTACTGATAGGTGACAATAGTGGCAGAGGAGAACTGCAAGTTCCTGTGTTGGTCTCGAGAACGGCTCACTTACTTCCTAGAATCAGACACTTTCCTGAACGAGGTGTTTAAGTACCTCATCGGCAAGGACATCACCAACAAACTGTACACTCTAAATGATCCCACACTCAGCGATAAGGTGAGGATAACTTTGTAAAGACACAACAATGTTTCAATCTTTTCTTATTAATTGTGTTACCAGAATTTCACTGCCGGTGGCGGTTGTGTTCTAGGCAGTGAAAAAGATGGACCGTCAGCCCAGCCTGTGCTCTCAGCTTTCTATGATGCAGATGAGGAACAGCATGGCGAGCACTAGTGACACAGATGATGTTCTTAACCAGATCCTACGAGGAGGATCCGCTGGATCATCTCTCCGTAAGTGTCACTATCCCTTCACTTCAACACAATTTTTTTTTGTCATTTAAATGGCATAAGTTCTGCCTGAAATGTGCCTGCAGTTCTAAGCTAACGGTAGATTACTAAACTTCTCTAGAATTTCTTGTATCTTTAGATAGAGTTTGGGCTCATTTTTACTCTCTTCCACAAGTTTGTGTTGAGAAAATTAAAAAAGGAGGATGGACAAGGGACCTGACCCTTGTGAAAAATAATTATAGTAAGTACAACATTTGAGCATACTTGTAATCATCATAATGCTTGACGTTTGTTAAATATTATTTACCTTGAAGCATGTTATTTTGGAATAATAATTAAATTGTGGAAAATCACTATTTGAAGTGCACTAAGTGTTCTATTACCGGATGTACACTTTTTGGTTACTTTTCAATGTCTTATTATTCTGCTCTGCCTCTTTGTACATTACATGCTTTATACACACTACAGCACTACAATACACAGAAGGATCAATTACTACATACTTTCTGATTTAAACAAAATGCATTTTGTATTCAATATATTCATATTTTTCAATATACTATCACAGAATTATACAAACTGTCAATATATTAAGTTTACAGGCAACATGCTTATGAAAATTAGCTCAATAAAAAAATAGATGCACTTTAGAGGAAATGTGAAAAATACTTAATCAAAAAGACTATTGTTTTAATTCACTGTCACAGTATTACTCCAAACTGACATTTCTAGTTTCAGTGAGAGTCAACGACCTGACATTTCCATTCAATGCGCCACTGCACTTAATAGAAACCTATAAAAAAGAACAATAGAGCAATTAAACAGAGAACACACTTTTAATTCAGAGTACAGAAAAATGGTAAAGAAAAAAGTATGACTTTTTTTAGGATTTAATACATCTGCAGACGGAGAGTAAAAATCCACTGCATTAGGCGAAAATCATTCTGCTCTAACGAACTCAGAGTTGCATAGTTGCTTTATTCACCTCTCTCTGCTAACAGAGGCGGAGACTCAATCTTCTAAGACCAAACAAAAGAAACAAAGGAAAACAGACGGAACAGTTCAACCTTACACACTCATTCACTATCATGTCTACGGGATTCGAAAACTAAACACTCCATCTCCATGCAGGGAAGACCTCGGGAAAAACAGCAAGTTCCCAGATAACCCGTCTGGGAAACTTCAACAGACACATCTTGTTCAATTAGTTAGTACACCCTCTGCAGCTGCACGAGAAAACATATTGACTATGTTACTGTATGATGCAAATGATAGATTTTCTCTTTAAAGAAAAATCTACTTCACAGGATGTTGTGGCATCATCAGAACTGAATAATGTATGGGAGACCAGAGGTCACGTTAACGGAATATTTTCAGTATTTGACTCGTTATGTTTTTAAACAACCAGAAAATTTAAAGCCCGTCTGTCCTTTGACAGGTTATAATCAGTGGTGGAAATTAACGCCTGCGACTGGCCAAATGCATGTAAAAGTATGAAGTGGCGGGTAAATTGGAGCAACACACCCACCACCGTGGTAGGTCGACAATTTGAAAAGAAAAAGTCCAGGGGAGGACTGACCATTTGGATTCCAAACTGATGTGCATAATATACATGTCTGGCAGCCCTACCCTGTCATAATTTAACAAAATCTTAGATTAAGTCTATTTTTTATCAACTGCGGCAGCCCATTGGTTGATTTTATCGACAGACTTTGAGTTTATCCAATGAAATCCCTCTCTTCCTTGGCCCGCCTGGAGGGGAGCTCCAGGTTTATAAATAGCACTATTTCAGCTAACGGTTGCTGCTAACCGGAGTCCGAGAAAATGAGCGGACACGAAACCGGGATTAGTCAGAAAAACTACGACAAAAGATAAAAAGCACATACACCCATTCAGAAAAATCTGTCAAACTAACCGATATGTTACCACACTTACTGCTGGAGGAGAGGAGATTGACTAGCTGACAGGAAGAGGTAATTAGCAATTCAGGAGCTTTATTATTTTCGGAGGAGGATGATGAGAGAGACGTGACCAAGGACCTAATAATATCTAATAATATTCATTTAACCTCCAGAACAACTTGGCTGCAGACTGTTTTATAGCTCAAAAAAGCTCAAAGGGGTTAACTCTATATAATCACATATATCATATAGATATATATGATTAAGATATCAAGGCAAAGAAAACCCAGTAGCTGCTGGCATTCAGGGGCCCTCCAGGCATTCAGGGGCCCTTAGAAATACCACACTTATCCAGAGCGGCGTTCTGGATAAGTATGGCAGGTGTAACATCTGTCCATTTTGGAGAAGCAAAACCACACAAAAAAAACACACGTCTGGACCGCACAGAGTTCAATTGATCAGTTTGGATCAGACAGATCCAACTCACTGATGAACTAGTGCAGATTTCTCTGCAGATGCAACCAAGAGGAATTTGTGAAGCTGGCTGACTCTGAATTCAGTACATTTTCAGATCTCAGGTTATAAAATATACCACTGAAAATTGTGTTTCTGAACACTGCATCTACTGAAGGGTTCTTCGAACCTCCAAGAAAATATATCTCCCCACTTTATGCATGTAATCCAAAACATTAATACAATTTTTTTTTCACTTGCGTTGCTTTAAGTTCAACCCCATAACGGGACAATTTGATTCCTCTATGAGTATTACTCTAAAACATAATTAAACCAATCCTTCCAGTTCCTTTGAGATCACCTGCCCCTTGATTAAAATAACTACTTTTAAGTATATTTTATTTGATTGTGAATTATAATAATTTAACTAATAAGTAGAATATGGCAACTTCATGTAAAAGCGCTTTTCATAAATCATAAAAATTAATTTTAAAATAAATATTAAATCGAGCTTTTTTATATTTTTGACTCATTCTTTAAACTTTGTATACTGTCCAACAAATTAGTCTAATATTTGCTGTTGTTATATATATTAAAAACAATCACAACAATGTATCAAGTAACGGGGTTGAGCCCAGTGTAAAAGTTGACCAGGCTGTATGGGGTTGAACACACCGCCTTTCTTAACAACAGTCCAACATTCAACCCCGTAACAAAAACATTGTTTTTGTTACGCAGACGGTTGGCAACCGCCTGCGCCCCGAGAGCCGAACAAAGATTATATTAAAAACATTCAGTCCGTTACAATATCAGGTTTCCAGGCTTGATATTTATTGATTATTGATGAGCCTCTCATGAACTCAGCTCATTTAAACTCCTGCTCTGCTGTCAGTCAGTCTTTGAGTCTTTGTATTTGTTAATGGATCTGGAAGGCAACCTAACAATAATTACTGAGAATATTCATTTTAACATGTTTTGTTGATTTTTATTATTTTATTATTCTTTCATGAAGCTGCTAACGTTTTGGATCTTAGTGAATCTTTTGATAAGCCTGTCAGAAGAGGAAGTGCTGGTATCAGCTTCCTGGAGGCCTTCAGTTTGTAACCTGCTGCTGAGATCCACTCAGAACCTTCCCGCAATCCACCGGTAGACCCACCAGTAGACCCACCGGTAGACCCACCGGTAGACCCACCGGTAGATCCACCGGTAGACCCACCGGTAGATCCACCGGTAGACCCACCGGTAGACCCACCGGTAGACCCACCAGTAGACCCACCGGTAGACCCACCGGTAGACCCACCGGTAGATCCACCGGTAGACCCACCGGTAGATCCACCGGTAGACCCACCGGTAGATCCACCGGTAGACCCACCGGTAGACCCACCGGTAGATCCACCGGTAGACCCACCGGTAGATCCACCGGTAGACCCACCGGTAGACCCACCGGTAGATCCACCGGTAGACCCACCGGTGGATCGCAATCGACGTATTGAGCACCCCTGCCTTAGAGGGTAAACAACTGAAAAGGTTTTGAAGTGGACTTCCTTAGCTTTTGGAGGAACGGGAAGATTTAAATAATTTGATCTAATTGTTTCCCTTTGAATCTTTGAAAATGCAATATAAAATTTGGATTTGAGACTGAAGGAAACAAAGTGCTAGTGAAGCATTCCCTAATTTTTGAGTTTTTTAGTTTATTATCTGTGATACTGTGCCCATTAATTAGAAATCCAGGTAGGACAGCTGTTCTGTAATCAGGTACATTACAGAATCTACCTGACATAAAGACATTTAGCTGCACATAAAATATTTGGGGGAAAGGCTCTAATAATCTTTTGAAATTCACTTTTATTTATTTGCAGGTTATATTTAACATTGAAGTCTTCAAAAAACATAATCCCTTCATCATTTCATAAATGCATCACAGACCTAACACCTTGTTCTAACCAATTATATGCAAAAAATCATTTTTTATTAATTGTCATGTAACAGCAATTCCACAAGGGGGTATTGTGTATTGCTATGTTTGTAGATTAATCTCCAATATAATAAAACTTGCTGGTGAAAGAAGGAAAGTTTAACAGGCAAAGTCACAAGTGAGAAGAAAACTAACTCCGCCCAGATTAGAAAATATTTCACTTGGAATATGGAACCATCATTCATTTTGATTTGTTAAAAAAGACTGAAGCCAATTTATTTTTATGGTGCTGTTCATGCTGTCAAAGAGCTTGCAGCCCTCCATCTTCAAACTGTTTATATAAGAAAAGGTCATTTAATCAGTGAGTTTTGTGTTTCCATATAAAGTCAAAATACATCCTACTGATATATTTTATTGCTGAATTGGGTATTCCTAAAATAAATGCAGGGTAGACAAGTCTGGAAACACTTTCCATTTTGTTAAAAAATTTTCTTCCCAGAATAGATAACTAAAGGAGAGATTGAACAACCTTGTTTTATACGTTTGTTGATGCTAAATCTGTGTGAGGCACCATGTGGAAGACACACCCAACTGTTGGTATCTTTGTAAAATGTTTTAATTACATTAATAAATTTATTTCCAAACCCAAATAAACCTAAAGCTTTGAACATATTCTAAATTCATGTTCTATCATATCAAAGGCTTTAGTCTAAAAATAATACAAAGCCTTTATT